CTATTGTTTTCCAGCACTCCGGTTAAATGAACAATGCTCTCTCCTTCTAGTAAGAAAATGCACAATGCTTGAACTCATGAAGCAGTTTTTCATGCAGCCCATGTAAAAATTACCCTATAAAGGCTGGTTTTCACTAGTGCACAAGCATAAGCACAAGCAACATACATGTATCTTACTGCATCTGCATGTGTGAACTGCTTATGCTTATGGTTATTATGAACCAATAGAAACCAGCCATGACCCGCTAACATGACTCCCATCTGTTGTTTCACACCAATATTTTTTCCGCAGTGTTTATTCATATACGATCTTGCATGTCATTCAGTTCACATCTAAAAGGGGTAGACAAGTCTATCTATGCCAACTTGCAAACTTGGTTAACCAAAAACAGAGATCAGAAATGGTTACAGACTGAACTACTGAGCAAGTCAAATTTAATATGAATCCTCTTCATTGTGAAGTTCACTGGAAAGCTAATCTTGACTGCTTTCATAAAGGCTGTATAATTATTGAACCAAAATACATACAAGTCATGCAACTTTACACATTTCAACAAGATAGTAATTATTACAAAATAATAACATAATATTGTACTTGTAAATTAATAATATAGCTGCATTTCTCCTATCAGTTGCCTAACTCTGGGTGTGGTTTATCTGTGAGTGCAGATTATCTGCCGGTGTAAGTGGTAATTAAGTTATACTATAACTAAATGTCACTGATCATCAATATTATTTAATCAAGTCCTTCAAGCACACTTTGTGTTCTTGCATTCATCCAAACCCTCCAAAAGATCATTGTGAACTAATGCAGTTGCAGTCATTGAAAGTTACCCCGGCAATGGAACTATATTATATTCCTTACTTGTTTACAAAGAAATGATGTTTGTTAAGCAAGTTCAAGCATCACTTTAGTATCATGGCAGACATCCAGTGTGTAAGATGACTGAAACAAGACATGCTCATTTTTCTTTGTGCATTGAGACACATCCAATTTTGAAGTGCTGTATACTCGGGCACATGCTATTGTCTTCTGTGCACTGCTGTCACTGTCACTCCATCATCTCCAGCTGGGATATCAAAAAGATAAAATAAGTTAACAGTATCACCCAGTACATATTATATTTTTTAGCAATTTACATTGTACCAATTCACTGTGTGGTTTTATGATACCCACTTGCCAGTTGAAAAGTTTAAGCTAGCAGGGGTTTCATTAAGGACTGGGCACTGAGCATAATGACCGCCTGTGAAGGTGATTTTGCCCCCCTGGTTTGAATATCTAGTGGAAAGTTCTTCTTATAAAGAAGTTCAAATCAAATAGTTTTGCCCGCCTGTGCATGAAAACCAGTTGCCCTTCTGTTAAAAATGTTAAATGAAACCCCTGATGTGTGATACAGGTAATCAGAACATTTCCTAACCTCCGTTACTGATGCGTATTTCTTTAAACCATTTTAGCCAAATTCTGGTACAACTTTTGTTGTAAAAAGCAGTTGACAAGTACTCTGTTACTGGACTTAGCTTCATGTTCATAGTTTTATGAGTATGCAATCACTCCAATTGTATTTTCATGTTGAAAATACAGATGTAAAAAAGTAAATACATGTACAGTACATGTACATACCAAATCATCAGCATCCTCCATTGTGTCATCAATAGGAGCTTCTTCCTCCTCAGTTGCTCCATCTTCCAAGAACTAAGTAAAACATTGAAAATATTTGTCTGAAGCAAATATATGTACATTGTATTATCTATGAGATAATTAGTTTCCTAGGTAATACGTACACATGAAATCAAGAACAGAACTTCCCTGTAAAATTGTGCTTTACAAAAAAGATTTTCTTATCAGGAATTTACATGATGCATATACAGCTGCACATGCATGAGAAAAAATAATGTTAAACACAAAATGGGAAAATTTTTAGTATCAGCTACACGAGTTGAATATTTACATGTACAGAGGTATAAAGGTACAAATCTCACTTCTTTAGCTTGAGCTTCAGTGACGTTGCTGTCAGGTGCTTCAGTTTGACTGATCAGTGTTACTTGTTCTGCCAAACAACAGAAAGTAATAATGCTCTGCTTCTACATGCATAACATCAAATCTTTTCAGTTAAAGATAACACCCGTACGAAACGAGCAGCACTGTGCAGTGCCACAAAAGCGCTTCAAACTAGCTGTACAGCTGATATGTAGCCAATTTGCAGCGCTTCACAAGACTTTCCACGGCCAAAGTAAAGTTGCAGCTGGCTGCAAAAATGTTGTGCAGCCCTTCAAAGCGCTTCACAACATTTTGCAGCTGTCTGGCAGCCCACCGATAGCTGTGAAATAGCTGCTAGCAGCTGCAAAGCGCAGTTTATAAATAGCCCTAAATTGCCAGATTATACAAACTAGGAATCTTGCTAGATTGCAACTAGTAAATCAACATATTTTGACACTTAAAAACAATCACTGGTGGCATGGTTCAATGCGATGCGCCGCCTGATTTGTTGCGTGCAGAGCATGCCTTTTGTGACAAAGCAAGTGCCTTGTTAAAGACTTTGGAAAAACTGGTTCATCTCAATCAACTGCAATACACGAATCCAGCAAGGTTGTCAGGTGGCAAGAATTATTTTCAGTTTTTATGTTCAGGGTTTTATACAGTACATGTATTTCATCAGTTAACGGAGGCATGTAGATGCAAACAATACAAGAGAGCCTGGAGTGCCTTGATATGGCAGTTATCTTTGACCAATTGAAAATAATCTGTTGTGACCTGCTACTGTACACACCTGATCCTTAATCATGAATGTCAATCAAGTTAGCTTAAGCCAATCAAAATATAGTGTATCGCGTGCATACATTGTAACTGACCCTTGGCCTGCTAATTTCAAACTGATCGAGAGCTGAGTTGAATATTGAAGCTGTTGCATTGAAGCAGAAGGTTTCAGTTGGCCTTGTGATACAGATAGTTGAACTATTTATCTTTGGTGATGTGATGCACTTTTTTTCTGGATCGATGAAAAACAGTTCAGTGTTGTGGAGACCGATGACATAAATTGTCCTTGACATTAAGTTTAATGGTGTACTAAAGGAAGGGATTACTTGCCCTGTAAAATGAAGGGAAAGAAGATCAGGCCAAAAAATCGAGGATTCGCTTTATGATTCAGAGATTACAGCAATTTCAGGTATGTTGTAAACCCTTTTCTTTGCAGTTTGCTGTACTTCAATTCTGGAATGCGTGACTTAAGGCACAAAATTTGCCCAAATAGTTATGATTGCGCCTTAACATTCTGAAAGTACTCTATATTTGTTCAGAAATAGCAAATGATTCTACAATGTCTTGGTTTTGTTGAGGACGAATTCTCTTAGCTTCGGCATACTATAAAAATTTCGACTCATGGTCGTGGTTGTTCAAAAAACTAGATACCCAGCAGTCAAAAATTCATAGATAATTAATTTCCACAAAATAAATTGTTATGATTAGAAACCTCCCAACAGTATTTGAGTATTTTGAACTTTGGTGAGAAACAACAAACTATCTTATGCAATGTTTTGGGTTTGCAATTCACAAATTGGCAGAGCTGGTTTTTCTCTGAAGAAAACTATATATATATATCCAGCAGTCAGAAATTCTTTCCGATTTTCCAGCAAAATTTTCACTCCAACCTGATGAGAATGCTTGACATCTGTGTAGAAATGTCAAGGGATTTCTGAACTAACCAGCCCTCTAACTAGATTGAACATTTGTTCACATTTCCAGGGCATGGAAGCACATAACATGACAAAGTGACTGAAGACCTACTGAGTGATGGCGGAGTTTACAGTTCTCAGAACTGTTGGCTATAAAGCTATTATTTAAAGGAGCTTATTCAGTCGATATTCGATGGCCAGTTAAAAAAGTGGGTTTGTAATAGATGTAAATTGAAAAAATAGAACATTCCCAATAGTCAAGGACTTCATGGTTTAAAATGTTAGACTGTCGGGTATCTAGCTTTTTTTAACAACTGTACCTGTGAGTCGAGATTCATATAGTATGTATGCTGAAGCTAAGAGAATTTGTCCACTACAAAACCAAAACATTACTTAGAATCGCTTAGCATTTCGGAACAAATATCGAGTACTCTCAGAGGGGTTCAACTGTAATTTGTAAATTTCCTCAACTACAAAGCCAAAATAATACTCGAAAGCGCTTGACATTTCTAAACAAAGATATGCTACTCTAAGGAAGAATAGACCAATTTCGATAATTATATTAAAATTCAGCCCAACACAATAGACCTCAGCACGAGGCTCTGTGGAATAAACTCCACAAACTCTGTAGTTATTCCCAGAGCCTCGTACTGAGGTCTATTGTTTTAGGCTGAATTTTAATATATCGAAATTGGTCTATTGAGTTAGTTTTTCCAAGGAAATTCAGGCTATAATAATTTCAGACTGCCAGGTATCGAAATTGGTCTATTGAATTAGTTTTTCCGTGGAAATTCAGGCTATAATAATTTCAGACTGCCTGGTATCTAGTTTTTTGGAAAACACTTCCCGACTGCATTAGTAGGCATCTACGTAATTGATCATCTTTTTAACCATCTGCAACATACAATTAAACAGTCATCAATTTCTTGCGACATCGTATTCTATATCTACATTCTTTAAATTTTTGAAGCCAATTTGCAGCCATCACGCAATGACAATCACAATTTTGTGAGTTTTCCTCACCGCTGCTAAAGCACTTCTTATCGCTTCCGATATACTGTAAACTGATATCTCGTAAACACATTCTTGGCATATTTGAAGCCCATTTACAGCCTTTCCGCAGCGCTGATTGTGATTTCTGAAAATGTCTGTGCCACTGTCAAATCACTGTTTAAAGCAGTTAAATGGCTGCTCTTGGCAGCATTTAGCAGCCCAAATTTGTGACTGCTGCATCCAGCCACTTCACAGCGGGTTTACAGCACTTCCTGAAGCTGTTCTGCAGCACTGCAACAGCACTGCCCATTTTGTACGGGCAGACAAGCATTGCACATCTTCCCCAGAAGTTCTATTTCAGTTTCTCCTGGAAATGGATACTTGAGCTTGATATTTTTCAATAGTTAATAGGGGGAATTGCCGTGGAGAGCGGCAAAGTTCTTTGTTATATGTTTTTGTTTGCCTTTTTGGCTTGGTTGAAACAAAATATTGTGCACACTCCCAGACCTTCCAACATCTTAGCATCTTTGTTTGCTCCTTGAGGCTTTTTGGGCTTCATAACCATTCCCTCTATTACATGTAACCATGATTTGGTTACTAAAGCTGATTTGTCTATTTGGCTAAATTAGTACACCCTTGTCACAAAGAAATGTTAATTTGCAAGAGCAAGTCTCTTTCTCACAATAAATTATTTCTGTCATGTCTGGAGGTAATGATTTTGTTTATGACTTGTGAAAAGGATTACCAGTATTATGGATTCTCTGTGATCTGGTGGACACATATAATTCTCCTAAATCAAACACATGATGAACGTCTTTCATTTCTTTATGTTATTCAAGGAAAAATTATAGCTATATGTGTACACATGACTGAATCATTCTCCAACCTTTAGACAACAGAAGCCAAAATTCATGCCCTCTTTGGTTTATTAACTTCTCTTTCATTTCTTGAAGAAATTTGTTTAGCATTCCAGATTCACCAGCCTTAAAAAAAGCAGATTTGAGAAATATATATAATTATTTTACAAAGGAATACAGCTACAGTGTAGTTAAGTTGCTTTTATATGACAATAATCAATCACTACAACAATCAAACTGTTATTAGCCTCAGCCTTCGGCTTTGGCTGATAACACTGACCTCGACCTTGATTATTCCGGATATCACAAAACCTCATCCAATAATTGTTTAAAACATGAACCAAGATGGCAATTCACCTATAATCTAATAATGATGATTGCAACACCCTTGATGTATAACTATTACCAAAAGAACACTACATACACTGTAATTTCTGAAATACACAAAGAGTTCGGTGACAATAAATTACAGTATGATCCACCTTACCTAAGCCACCATCATACAAGTAAGCCAATCATGGGGTACAAATTTGTTTGATGGATCTGCCTTTTGTCAAATCAAACTGGGTTTCTCTTAGTATGCAACCAGATATTAAGATTTTGTGGAATTCCATTTTCAGCATTTCATTGACGTAAGGAAAGATATACTGTCGGAGGGTTGTATACTAGAAAGATGTTCATGTGACTTCCTTGAGAGTCGCTATGATCACATTTGCAAATACTCAATTCTGGAAACTCTTGAAAGAAATTAAGTGTTCTCTTACCCAAACAATCCAGAGCACTTAACATAGGATTGAATTCTCAAAGCCTGTATTCCATTGACCTCAGGGACCCAGGGGAAGAACATCAGGTCAGGAGGAAGTCAAATGGGTGAAAGCAGTGCAAACAATACATGCAAGAGCAAACATTCATTACTTCTTGTAAACTTTCATTCACACTGCTATTGTCCAGTTTAACTTGCCCCTGACCCGACTATCTGTCCCTGGGAATCTGAGGATGGTACTGCACAGGCCCTAAAATTGGTCTAAATGCTTTGGAATGAAATGTCAAAGGAACACGATTTTAGTATGTCATAGAATATTGCAACTTTAGTTCATTGTGTTGTTCAGTGTTGTTTTTGTAGATTATTCTCAACTGATGATCCTGATTCAACAGTTCCAATAATTAACTAGGCAAACAAAGAATGTGATTTGTAAATGAAAGCAGCATTCAGTCATTTCAGGGTTTACTTTTAGGAAATGAAGGACTCTAAGGGCGAA